TATCCTCCTTGCCTGCAAAAAGAGGAAAACAGTTAACCCTTTGAAGAAGTGGGGGGGAAAAAAACTGAACAGAAGTTTCAGTAGTAAGGAAACGTGGATGGTCACTGAACATATGAGAAAAGGCTCCCGTTCATTAGTTCATTAGCCATCAGAGAAATGCAAATCAAAACTACCATGAGATACCATCCAACACCTTTGAAGCTAGCCCAAATCATAAAATCGGAGAGCAACAAACGTTGAAGGGCATGTGGTGAGGCAGAAACTCTCCTACATTGCTGGTGGTCTTGTAGATATGTACAGCCACTCTGGAAAGTGATCTGGTGATACTTTAAAAAGATGGAACTTGAGCTGCCTTATGACCCAGCTATCCCTCTACTGGGCATATACCCAGAAGAGGTAAGAAATAAACCACGAGTAGTTGTATGCACTCCAATGTTTATTGTAACATAATTCACAATCGCAGATCTGGAAATAATCCAAATTTCCATCGGTAGATGAGTGGATCAGCAAACTCTAGCACATACACACCATGGAGTACTATGCATCACTAAAACGCACTGAGAACATGAAATCCATCTTTTCATGGGAAGAGTTGGAGGAAATTATGCTAAACGAAGTCAGCACGGTAGGTCTAGAAGAGAAGCCACCTATATCATAACATTTGGGTTGAGATACAGGGAATAATTGGGAGGAGGTTGGACCAAACCCAAGGAGGATATGTTGTTCCAACACAATAATGGGAAAAGGCGGGAGGGGGGGAGAAAAGGGGGACTGAAAGTGAAATGATGACGGAGGGAGCAGGGCACTAATCCACCCAGGGGGAGAGTACTGGTCTTGTCTCCACAGAATCGGGAGTGGGCACGCAGACCCTACCATGATGCACCAAATCATGAGGACAGCGTGGCCACGTGGAAGAATGCATGGAAAGAGAGAGCTACCGGGCTGGTCCCAACCAGAGTCAAACGGACCCCCTCCCTAGAAGTGGGTGTGGCGGAGAGTGGCACTGAACCTGCAGGTTGTGGAGAGGGGCCAGCATACCACACCCACACGGAGGCCCGTGGGCCGGAGGAAGAAGAGGAAGACAGAGCCTGACTGGACCCCAGGCTGGCGGCCCAGAAGATGATGTTCCTGCGGGGAGCTAATGGGACACAGAGGGGACTGGGAAACACAACAGCACGTGTCACGCTGTCCCCTTCCTGGAGCAGACTGTGACAGAGGACATTTCTGGGGTCACATGGTGGGGAGGCAGTGCGGTCTGAACCTCCCAAAACGGAGCGAACCAAGAAGGGAGCACACCAGATCAGCAGCTGGAGAAAGGCAGAGCTACGAAGCCCCTGAGGAGCCCCAAGGGGGCTCCAGGCCGGGAGGGGCAGCTCCTGGATAGTCATGAAGGCCAGAGAGCAGACCCGGCATTTTTGTATATTTCTTCTCTTTCTTTCTTTTTTTGTTAATTTTAATTTTTTATTTCTTTGATATTTTCATTTTTTTTAAATCAGTTTGGGCTTTCATAGTCGGTGTACTTACCTATATAGGATAGGCACGGGAGGCATGCCCGAAGAGAGACCAATGGTCCCAGGGAGACCTGAGAGGTGAGGGTAGTAGGGCAGGGATGGGGGGGGGCGCAGGCTGCACCATGGACAGGGGAACAACTGGGCTGTTGGAGTCAATAACAGGAGGAGATAGGTATATGAGGTTGGATGGTGGTGGCTGTCGAAGTAACAGCACTCTAGCTAAGAGGAGGTACCAAGGGTGGAAATTAGGGGAAAGTGACAGTGGGGCAGGAGGAAGGTAAAAAGAAACAGAAGAATGACCAAGGAAGCAAAGCAATGGATAGAGGTATAAACATAGCGGTGTACATATGTAAATACATTAATCTACAGTACACTGAGGTAGGGGATGGACTTTGGGCCTCTGCTCATACCCTCCCTGAATACAAGAACACTTTGTTCTAACCAATCAGACTCGGGTTTCTTAAAGTCGGAGAGCCGCCATGCTTGCTGACAGATTCCCCTTTCTCATGGATCAGTGGCACCAGCCACTTCTGTGAGCCCTGCTCATTTCCAACACAGCCAATTTCCCCTGGTCCCTGAGGCAACCCAGTCAACCAAGCCTCTTACTTCACTCACCTCGGGGTATTCTGGTGGACAGAAGGCAGCTGTGCACAGACATAATCAGTACCCAAGCTTCACTTTTCACCATTTTGTTTTCCTTTCACCCTCCTTTCTTGCTTTATTATCTGGTGCCCTCTCCTCCAACCCTACCCCCCACCACACACATGTCTGAACTCAGCCATGCAGCACACATGTGCACATAGAATCCTGATCTACAAGACAAAAACTTATTTTTTGGAAGGATTAACAAAATTTACAAACCATTGAAGAACTTAACAAAGAAAGAGATGATGCAAACATCTAGAATTAGAAATGAAAAGGGTGACATCACAACAAATTTAAATGAAAGAAACAAATAATAACACAGTACTAGGAAAGACTATACTCCCACAAGTTTGATGGTCTAGAACAAATGGAGAAATGCCTAGTAGTACATCAATTACCAAATTAATGCAGATGATTATGGAAAACCTGAACAGATTCTACAGCAAAAGAAGCATTAGAGAATGTCAACAAGAAACTTCCAACCAAGAAAAGCCCAGTTCCAGATGGCTACACAGAACTCTGCCAGACATTCAAGGAAGAGCTGGCACTAATTCTATACTATTCCAGAATATAGAAGAGGACAGATGAGTTAGTTAATTGTGCCAGCCTGGCCGATAATCACATGTGGGGCTGGTTGAAAGGCGGAGGGATAAATGGGTGGTGAAGCCTCGCCTTTCTAGTTCTCGGGTCTCTTGTTTTCTGATGGTTGCACCTGGTGCAGCTGCCTTAGCAGTTCCCTGCTTCAGCTTGCAAGATTGACTTCCTACAAGACATCTCCAAGGAGAAGCCGCATGGATCTATCCCGATGCAGCCCTGGGTGCTGGAGCAACCATGTGGAGACCCCTGCTAGTGCTGAGATGCTTATTCGTTTACCGACTCAGCTTTCCTCCTGCAGTCGGCATCATTGCCTCTGTTTTGTGAGGTGGAGGAATTTGTGGACTGGTGTTGAGTTAATAGGTTAATGTTGGACTTGCAGGCTTGGGCAGCATTGGGTTGGGATGTTTTCGTGATGCACCTTTTATTTACATAAAACTCTCTCTTATACATGAGTTGCTGTGGATTTGTTTCTCCAAAGTACCCAGACTAATACAACAGAAAACACCCAAACTCATCCTATGAAGAAACATAATCCTGTTACCAAAACCAAGCAAAGACCCAACAAAGAAAAAATTACAGACCAATATCCTTCATGAACAGAGATGCAAAACTTCTCAGCAAAATTCTGGCTTATAGAATCCAACAATTCATCAAGAAAATAATTCACATGGGCAAGTGCGAATCATTCCAGGGATGCAAGGGTGGTTCCACATTCAAAAAACAATCAATGTAATCCACCATGTAAACAAAATAAAGAACAAAACCCAGATGATCATGTCAATAGATGCAGAAAACACACACTAGTAATCCAATGCTGATTACAAGTAAAAGTACTCAATAAAATGTGAATAGAGGGGAAATCACTACACATGATAAAGACAATATATGACAATCCAATGACCAACAACACTCTCAATAGGAAAAAACTGAAAATATTTTTTTTCTGAAAAGGGGAACTAGACAAGAGTGCCCCTTATCACTACTCTTATACAACACCATACTGGAAGACTTAAAGCCATTAAACAAAGAAATCAAGGGGATGCAATTTGAAAAAGAAGTAGTGTAGCTCTTGCTATTTGTAGATGATATGATTTTATAGAGAGAGAACCCCAAGGAGTCCACAAGAAGGCTGTTGGAAACAATGGAGAGATTTGGTAAGGTAGCAGGATACAAAATTAACTAGCATAAAGCAATCATATTCTTTTATTCCAGTGAAGAGAGCTGTGAAAAAGACAGGTAGGGGGGCGGGATTTACAATAGCTGCACAAAAGATAATATACCTAGAAATAAACTTAACCAAAGAAACAGAGACCAGTACCAAGAAAACTATAGAACATTATTACAGGAAACCAAAAGAGACCTACACAGATGTGAGAATATCCTTTGTTCATGGATAGGAAAAGTTAATGTTATGGAAATGTCCTTATTACCTAATGCAATCTAAAAATACAGCACAATTTTGATGATCTTTGAATTGGTTAAAAATGTGTCAGAAGCACATAACTGTATCTTTGGCCTTTCCTCCTTTTTCTCGTCAAGTACTCTCAGTTACTAATCCCAGTATATCACCTAGTGTCCCACCAATAACCTTTAAAATGCATACAGACATCAATCTTTAACCTTCCCTGCTCTACTTTCTTCTCCCAGAGTCCCTTGTATATAGAAAGGCTTCATGCAAGTTTAGTTTCTATAAGTTTTTAGTGAGAAGCAATATTGTGTTTTCTCTTCAAGGAGTATTTGTATTTCTTAAGATTATCACTTTGGTATGGATGGGTTGAGAGAGATAGCTGGCACACCAAGAACCTGCAGGTGAAAACTTCCTTAAATTTTGTACCCTAGAGCCTCACTTGCCTTGCCCTAATCTTGACCCTGGTATCACCACAGGAAAGCCAGGTACCTGACCTAGTAACCCATGATGGGGTAGATAAAGTTGCATGAATAAATACTTTCTAATACAGTAGTCTACAAATTCATGTCCCTTCCTATGGGAGATAACTTCCAATAAATAATTCCATGACTGGTCGACTTCTCTTAGTAATTGGATGAATAGAGAAGGTAGATGTTGATCTTCTATCCAGACATACAAATTTACCATCAACTAGAAGATGCCACCAACCATTAAAAGGTCATTTCTTTTTGGGCTCCCTTCTGGGTCCTCAATCCTTTGACTATGAGTCTAAAGAGAACCTGGGGACATCAATTGTGTCTCACACAATTTCTTTCTTCTTTTTGGAGAACACAACTTACTCAGTTCAGTTAGAATCGGGATTCTTCGTTCTTTTAAGTTCTTCTGATCTCCAGTCAAGTTATTTTCCAACCCTGCTGTGGACAACAACAAAGAGGGAGAGGTGAGAAACGCAGCTTCTTGCAGAACTTCAGAAGGATTCACAAGCACATCATGGAGTTCGGGCCTCTAGCTCTGCAATATTGCTCCCACGCACAAATCCCCGATCCTTTTCTATATTTAGAAGAAACAAAGAAGGGTTTGGACCTCCTCAGCAAATTCTTTTGAAAAACATGTGGTGCATGTGTGTGTGTTTAGTTTCTATATGGCACTTCAAATGAATTACAAAAAGGGAAAGCTCTCCCAGGAGTTGCTTATTGACATCATAACTAAAATATGATTATTCTCCATGGAGTAGTCGTGCTGGGTAATGGCTCTTTAAGGCTCTGCCTCAAGCCATGTCAATTTGTTTATAAAACTTTTAGAAAGCTGTAAATAAATAGGTGGGGCTGTTCCACGGGTGCGTTTGGAGACATTCCAGCGAGCTTCTGCCTATCTGCTGTGCTCGCAGGGCTGAGGCAATGCCCATGGCAGCTTGCTTCTGGGTGAGACAAATTCCATTCACTCTGGTTAACCGCCCACTATGTGGGATGTGCGGGGAGTAATAACTCCTTAAAGACTGGGCTGGAAGGGAATGCAACATGGGGTTCTTGAGCTCTGTGTCCAGTTTGTAGGCAGATTGTCCTCTTGCTTCAGAAAATACAACTTTTGAATTCGACACACA